ACTTGTGATTTATTCCGGTCCAACGCACGTAGCAAGTGAGCCTTGATAGGTCATAGTGAGGTTTCATCCCAAAATCTATTAGTTAAAAGAGAAGTAGCTCACTAGTCTTATAAATTGATCTTATTTTCTCTGTATAATATCGGGAAAACCCAAAAGACTAGATCATCTTTTTCAAATGTTGATATGCTGAAAGCTTTTGGAACTGTAATAGGATTGGAATGTTTACAAGGGAGTCATAGGAGAACAGTAAGGCATGATTAATTGGCACAAAAAATACTTAGTCTGTTACAATTTTCAATACATATTTTTGGATAAAAAGTGAGTATTGGTTGAAAAAAATTAATATTATGGTTAGAACTTAAAAATATGTTGTAATATTTATCTTGACCAAAATATTATCAACATGAATAATGGAAAATCAATTTTATAATTTATTATAATGGATATCAATGAAATTATTTGCATATATTAATAAAATTATTTAAGGAAAAATATTTTTGATCATATCTGATTTGATATTATTTGAAAACGTGTATATGAAAGTAATTAATACATATATCCTCCCTATATATAATTCTCGAATGTGCTGAGCCTAAGTGGCAGACTCGCATGCTTCGAGATCATATGTGTTAAAATTTCATGCTTTGTTATTTGAGTTGGATAGATTTTAATTTAATTCAAATCCAAAAATAATAGGTTTGGATTACCATAAATATGTTGATTTATTTATGATCATGGTTCAAAGGTTGTTTGACTCTGCAAGTATTTTTTGCCTTTAATTTTTTTTAAGAACAACAAAAGAAAAAAAAAACATATAAACCAATTTAGAATGCAATCCACTCTCAAATTTTTTAAAATACTTGATTTGAAAAATAAAAATAAATAAATAAATAATGAAGGATGATACTTGATTGTCCACCAAAAAAATATTAAAGGTGGATGCTTAATTTGATAGTGAAGGTTTAATTTTGACGTTGCTCAATTGAGTCTCATGTTGCTCCATTGACATTAAAAAAAAAAATCTTAGGGCTTGATTGTTTATGAAATAATTTGTTCAAAATGAGTTATTTTGGTTAACCATAGTTAATATTGAAAAGGTAGTATGATTAGTTGTTAGTGGAATTTTAAGAATGTATGAAAATAATATTTAAAATAAAATAATTAAAATTGATTTGATGTAAAAGTAAGAAATAAATGATTGGAAATGATTGAAAATGATAGGTAGTTAATAAAATGTGAGTGGATGAATAATGAATTAAAGTTGATGTAATGTGTAAAAATGATTGGTTTGTATTATTTAATTATATGAATAATATTAAAGATAGTGGAGTTGAGTTAAAGTTGAGTTAAATTTTGAGTTGAAATAAAAGTAGATAAATTAATCCATAAAAAAAACAAGCCCTTATTCATTCAGCGGCCTATCTCACTCGGTTTCTTCATGGTTGATTCTTCATCGTCTGGTGTCGGTTTTAGTGGTGGCCGTGATTATAATTTTGGTGGTTGTCGCCGTGGTTGAGCTCGCGACAGGAGTAGTGCTCATGGAATGCGGCGTTCTCCAGTGGTATAGGGGATTCGTTTGTTTTCGATTATTTTGGTTCTTCCACTTGTAGTTGAGTTTTGAGTGATTCTGATCGTTCTGCACTTAGCCGTTTAACCAATGAACAATGAGCTCACTTTGTGTTTTTTGTTAATTCCGCTAAACAAAGTAATCCCTTGTCTGGTACGCATGGTTTATTTGCTTGGATGTACGACTTTTGGGCAACTCATCATAGGAGGACAGGGTTCTTGGAGTTTATTTTCGATAATCGAGATATTCTCACTCGTCTTGAACAATTGCCTAATGTTTCATTGACTATGGCTAGAAAAAGCTGGTATTGTTTATTTGCGATCTCATATTACTCTTTATGATGTTTTATATGTTCTCAATCTTTGGTCCAACTTGATCTTGTTATATCAATTGTTGGATCGTTCCGACTGCATCGCTCAGTTTACCAACAAATTATGTATTATTCAGGACCACACTTCGCATAAGGTGATTGGCGCGAGTGAGCAGTTGGGGGGTCTCTACTTCTTTTGAGGGATGGTTTCTATGACAGTTTCTTGTGTTCGGAAGGTTTCTGCCGATGTGTTGCATCAACGTTTGGGTCATCTGTCTGCTCAAGTATTGTCCCAGGTCCTTTTATTACTTCTTGTTCTCGTAATTTACATAAATCGTGTGATGCTTGTTTTCATGTCCTCTCAGTTAGACTATTAGTCATGAGACTTTTCATTTGATTCATTGTGATCTGTGGAGTACGTATCGTGTTTCGTCTTTCTGTGGTGCACGATATTTTTTTACTATTGTGGATGATTGTTCTCCTGGGACATGGGTTTATTAATTGAATGATAAGACGGAGGTTGCTTCCACATTGCTAATTTTTTTTCTATGATTAAGTGACAATTTGATAAATTGGTGCGTGTTGTTCGTAGTGATAACTTCCTGGAAGTGAG